CCTGTAATCCCAGCTACATGGGAGGCTAAGACTCAAGAATCACTTGAACCCAAGAGGCAGAGGTTGCAGTGAGCCAAGATGGTACCACTGCACTCAGCCTGGGTGATACAGTGAGATACTGTCTCAAAAAAAAAAAAAAAGTTAAACATAAATTTGCTGTTCTACTCAGCAATTTCACTGCCAAGTATCTTTCCAAGAGAAATAAAAACATATGTTCACACAAAGACTTGCAAACATATGTTTACGACAGCATTATTTATACTAGCCCCAACATGGAAACAACTCACATGTCCACCAACTGATGAATGCATAAGCACGCCACATGATGGAAAGCTATTTGGCCATCAAAAAGAAATGAGGTAGTGGAACATGCCATACATGGATAACTTTCCAAACATTATGCACAGTGAGGTCGAGCGAGGTGGCTCACACCTGTAATCTCAGCACTTTGGGGGGCCAAGGCGGGTGGATCACCTGAGGTCAGGAGTTCAAGACCAGCCTGACCAACATGGAGAAACCCTGTCTCTACCAAAAATATAAAACTAGCTGGGTGTGGTGGCCTGTAATCCCAGCTCCTTGGGAGACTGAGGTAGGAGAATCACTTGAACCCAGGAGGCAGAGGTTGTAGTGAACTGAGATCGCATCACTGCACTCCAGCCTGGGCAACAAGAGTGAAACTCCGTCTCAATTTAAAAAAAAAAAATTATGCCAAGTGAAAGAAGCCAGACACAAAAGGCTTATATTACATAATTCCAGCTATATGAAATGTCCAGATTAGGTCAATCCACAAAGATGGAATGCAGATTGGCAGTTGCCAGGGGCTGAGGGAAGGGTGGAATGGAGTTTAAATGAGGAGGAGGTTTCTTTCTAGGGTGACGACTCCTAGAAATAACGTGATATAGAATTAGACAGCAATGATAGTTGCAGTTTCTGTGAATGCACCAAAAACCGCTAAATTGTACACTGTAAGAAAAGTGAATTAAACCAGGCGCGGTGGCTCACACCTGTAATCCTAGCACTTTGGGAAGCCAAGGCGGGCAGATCACTTGAGGTCTGGAGTTCAAGACCAGCCTGGTCAACACGGTAAAACTCTTGTGTCTACTAAAAATACAAAAAACTTTTCCGGGCATGGTGGCAAGTGCCCCATAATCCCAGTTACTTGGTTGGGAAGCTGAGGCAGGAGAATAGCTTGAACTCAGGAGGCAGAGGTTGCAGTGAGCCAAGGTCATGCCACTGCACTCGAGCCTGGGTGACAAAGTGCAACTCTGTCTCAAAATAAAATAAATAAATAAATGTTTCCATTAATGGAAAAGAAAAATTAAAAGTTTTCTTAAAAGAAAAAAATAGCCATCTGTACAGGTCCTACTGCTCTGTTGGCTCATGAAATAGGTTTTGAAAGCAAAGTTACAACACATCGCTTGCTAAAGACAAAATGATAAACGGAGGTCATTACACCTACTCTGAGAATCAGGTGGAAAGGACGGCCTGATTCTTACAAGCCGTGGGCCTGGGACCAGCTTTGAGTTCGCGCTTGCAATTGAAGCCCTGAACAGCGAGGAGGTGGCGGCTCAAGTGAAGTCTCTACTTGTTCTTAAAAACTAGAGCAGCAGGCCGGGCGCGGTGGCTCAAGCCTGTTAATCCCAGCACTTTGGGAGGCCGGGGCGGGTGGATCACGAGCTCAAGAGATCGAGACCATCCTGGTCAACATGCTGAAACCCCGTCTCTACTAAAAATACAAAAAATTAGCTGGGCACGGTGGCGCGTGTAATCCCAGCTACTCAGGAGGCTGAGGCAGGAGAATTGCCTGAACCCAGGAGGCGGAGGTTGCGGTGAGCCGAGATCGCGCCATTGCACTCCAGCCTGGGTAACAAGAGCGAAACTCCATCTAAAAAAAAAAAAAAAAAAAAAAACTAGAGCAGCAAAATGTGACAGTCACCTAGAGAAACAGGCCTTAGGAATCTATTCTCACTGTGTTCGCTCTGAACAAAACAATGGTAGGTTAATGTATTCCTAAGCTGCCCTCACTACTGCTTTTGTGAAGTATAGTTTTGAAGTCATAACTACACAGACATCTTCCAACCTACAAATTGTGTCTATACATTTCTAAGCCTTATTTGCAGAATAAACAGAGCATTTAGCAAACTAAAAAAAAGAAGAAAGTCTTTTATTCATATTAGTAAGCTCTAGACCTTATGTTTCCATTTACATATCTTTTAAACAATAAATACTTAATTGATGAAAATGACAAAAATCAGTTCTATCTATAGAGAGAAAAACAAAAATCAGAGCATCACATAGCCAAAATCTTAAATCTTAAGTTAACTCTTTTTTCCCCTTTTGTATTTCCAGATTTCCTCAAATATGTAGTTTTTAGAATCAGATAACATTAGCTATTTAAATGTTTCCCATCAATTTAAATACCTTTTCCAGAATTAATGGGACCTGAAGGTTTTGCAAAGAAAATCAATGATTAAGTAAGAAATTCAGCTTCACCCTCCTAGTTCTGGGTCTAATCCCCACCATGCTCCCCCTTCAAAACATACTCAATAGGTAAAAATCATAGTTTAGGTTGCATTTCTTTTCATTAATGAGATACAAGAACAATCCATTAAAGGCTAACCACAAAAATCTTGAGAAATGTTTTGACTGGGCACAGTGGCTCATGCCTATAATCCCAGTAATTTGGGAGGCTGACGTGGGTGGATCATGAGGTCAGGAGTTCAAGACCAGCCTGACCGATATGGTGCATGAGCCTGTAGTCCCAGCTACTAGGGAGGTTGAAGTAGGAGAATTGCTTGAACCTGGGAGGTGGAGGTTGCAGTGAGCTGAGATCGTGCCACTGCACTCCGGCCTGGGTGACAGAGCAAAACTTTGTCTCAAAAAAAAGGAAATGTTTTTATAAAATGGCTATCACATGAGAGGGACTATAAAAAATACTTGATTTGTGAACACGTACGGGGTATTTATGTGTCAGGCGTTATGGTAAGTGTGTTACAAATATTGACTTCTTTCAATCCTCATAACCATATGCATTAGGATCAATCATCCCTATTTTTCAGATGGTGAGACAGAAGCACAGAGATGTTAAGTAACCTGTCAAGGTCGCACAGCTAGTCTTGACGTCTGAGCCCAAGTAAACTGCTCCAGGTGGCTCTGCAAACTGGCTGACCTTGGTGTCTCCCCACAAATAACCTCACGGAGTCTCCCAAACACGGAAACACAGAGGTGGGTATATCTCCATTTCACATGTGAGACAGATGAGAGCACAGCAGTTATGTGATGTGCCCAAGGTCACACAGCTGCTGTCAGAGCCTGGATTCAAATCCAGGTTTGGTGACATGGAAGGCATGCTACTTCTACCATGAGAAGTCTCTTTAGTAAAGCACCAAAATGCAGCCATTTGGCATCTGTACGAACATCAGAGAGCGCGCTTTATTCTCTGCCACCAACTACATTGCTTTACACTGCTGTTATCTGACATTTGGCCCGGCTATGGCAGAGCCACTCTCATTTTCAAAGAATAGAGTAGCATTACATTTTTAAAAAAGAAAACCCAGGATCTCAATAAACAGGAAATTCCCTAGCAATGATTTCTCTAAGGAGTTAAAAAAATATTTAAAAATGCCTATTAACTCAAAGGATTGGATGCAAACTAGCCATATAACTGGAAGCTGCCACGTACAACGAGAGTACTAAAATCTAGACTGAAGCATTCTTTTATACGTAGATTTCCAAGGGATATGAACCCTTAAGAAAATAACAATACCATCTGCTGGTGCGTGCTCTGCCCCATTATCCTTGTACATGGCACAGGGACCCTGGTATAGCAGCATCATAGAGCCCAGCGATGCTGTGCAGGTAAAATGAACTTGAGTTTCCCAGCTATATGGCAATTTGAAGATTAACTTTATTCAACAGAATGGATGGATTTTGTGGAACGTGCCTGTTTTGGCTGAGAACTTATCTGCACGATTCTCATATTGAGACCAGGATACAGCTGTTTGTGACTAAGCCCGTGCTCACTGAATAAGTACTCTCCGAGCATTATTTGTCACCAGACATCTGTTTCCTGTTTTCGTTCTTCCCTTTCTCATCCTATCCCAACTTCCTTTCACCTGTGGGCCACCTAAGACAGCCACAGAGAAGTCAGTCTAACGTTTGACTGTCTCTTTTCCCTTCCATAACTGTTGTCAGGGTAGTGCAGTCATATTACTTGGAGGATGGGGGAGGGAACCCAAGGGTCATTCTGAGTCTGGAAGGCTGTTGCCTGTGCAGTCTATCTTTACGTGACTAACTTCCTCCCTTGTTCCCCATTAATAATTTTTCCTGTTGAGGCAGCACCAGGCCCTCCAAATGTTCAATTGTGAACTGAATCACAAAAGGAAAACCTCTTCAGGCACAAATAAGGCAAGGCAGTAACTTACCTAGAGCAAGGCCGGCACACTCTGATATGAAGAAAAATGGAACCTCTTACATGGATACCGCACAGGATGTGTCTAAATTTAAGGATGTTCATTTCTATGCAAATAGGTTGAGGTCAAAGTTTCTTCAGTGTATTACAGACTTTAGAGGTCATTTTACACAGTCTTCATATTTTATACAGCTAGTCACTGTATTTTACACAGTTTAAAAGACAAAGTGAGCCAGGCGTGGTGGCTCATGTCTGTAATCCCAGCACTTTGGGAGGCCAAGGCCGGCAGATCACGAGGTCAGGAGATGGAGACCATCCTGGCTAACACAGTGAAACCCCGTCTCTACTAAAAGTATTTTTAAAATTAGCTGGATGTGGTGGCGCACACCTGTAGTCCCAGCCACTCAAGAGGCTGAAGCAGGAGAATCACTTGAACCCAGGAGGTGAAGGTTGCAATGGGCCAAGATTGCACCACTGCACTCCAGCCTGGGTGACAGAGCAAGACTCCATCTCAAATGGATTCCATTTTAAATGGTTTAAGAATAAGGGAGTGCAGTTTGAATACCCTAATAATAAATACTCAGAAAATGTGTTGTATGAAAGGTTAGCCCTCCCCTTGACAAGGATGGAAGAGGCCCTGGGGCCTGACAACACAGAGTTCCTGACATCTCACTATGTTTGTATCTTCTTTTCACTGTATTCTAAAAAAATTTTTTTTAAATCTCAGCTCATTGCAACTTCCACCCCCAGAGTTCAAGTGATTCTCCCACCTCAGTCTCCCAAATAGCTGCGATTACAAGCACATGCCACCACATCCGGCTAATTTTTGTATTTTTTGTTTTTGTTTGTTTTGAGATGGAGTCTCGCTCTGTCACCCAAGCTGGAGTGCAGTGGCGCTATCTCTGCTCACTGCAATCTCCATCTCCCAGGTTCAAGCGATTCTCCTGCCTCAGCCTCCTGAGTAGCTGGGACTACAGGTGCCCACTACCATGCCTAGCTAATTTTTGTATTTCTTGTAGAGATGGGGTTTCACCATATTGGCCAGGCTGGTCTCAAACTCCTGACCTTGTGATTCACCCGTCTCGGCCTCCCGAAGTGCTGGGATTACAGGCGTGAGCCACTGCACCCAGCCTGATTTTTGTATTTTTGGTAGAGACAAGGTTTTACCATGTTGGCCAGGCAGGTCTTAAACTCCTGACCTCAAGTGATTGCCCACCTCAGCTTCCCAAAGTGCTGGGATTACAGGCGTGAGCCACTGTTATATATTTTGGAAATACTTTTTTCCAATCTGTAATGTGCTTTGCAGACATTCTAAATTTCAATAAAGCCCAAAATAGACTTTTTAAATTAAAAAATACTCAGAAGTCTTTAAAATATATTAGATATTTAAGCCAAGTCCAGAACAGTACACAGTCTATCTCCTTGGTTTAGTTAGTTACCTTTGGGAAGTAGTTCAGAGACAGGCAACAGCAAAAGAATATGCTTTTGCTTTTTACTTTTTATTCTTATATTACATAAGTTTCAAAACAAGCATGAATTATTTATAACGATTGAAAGTATTTTAGGTCTTTTCTCAACAGTGATTTAACAAGAAGAAAATGTATTTTGGCCGGGCGCAGTGGCTCACACCTATAATCCCAGAACTTTGGGAGGCTAAGGCAGCTGGATCACTTGAGGTCAGTTCAAGGCCAGCCTGGCCAACACGATGAAACCCCATCTCTACCAAAAATACAAAAATTAGCCAGGCATGGTGGTGCACGCCTGAAATCCCAGCTACTCGGGAGAGTAGGAGAATCACTTGAACCTGGGAGGTGGAGATTGCAGTGAGCCAAGATTATACCACTGCACTGCATCCTGGGTGACAGAGAAAGAAAGAGAGAGAGAGAGAGAGAGAGAGAGAGAGAGAGAGAGAGAGAGAGAGAGAGAGAGAGAATGAATGAATGTATGTATTCTGCTCTTGACTCACTGCAATAGTCAATAAAAACACATTGTTTTGTTTTTTGAGATGGAGTCTCACTCTATTGCCCAAGCTAGAGCATACTGGCATGCTCTCCACTCACTGCAAACTTCACCTCCCGGCTTCAAGTGAATCTTCTGCCTCAGCCTCCTGAGTATCTGGGATTACAGGCATGTATCACCACACCCAGCTAATTTTTGTATTGTTAGTAGAGACGAGTTTTCATCATGTTGGCCAGCTGGTCTTGAACTCCTGACCTCAGGTAATCCACCCACCGCAGCCTCTCAAAGTGCTGGGATCGCAGGTGTGAGCTGCCACGCCTGGCCCTTTGGCGCTTTTCTTAGCAACCTTCTTTGCATCTTACCCTCTCTTTTCCTCCATATATTATATTCAAATATAACTTTTAAAATATTTAACATAGGAGGATGGCTTTGTTAAAAACGTTTATTAAAAGCAGCCATAGAAAAAAGTGAATGCCTCTTCTCAGATGGTTTCCTGTGCTTTGCCATTGTTACAGGAAAGGGGTCCTGATTCAGACCCCAATAGAGGGTTCCTGAATCTTGTGCAAGAAAGATTCAGTCCATAAAGTGAAAGCAAGTTTATAATAAGTAAAGGAATAACAGAATGGCTACTCGATAGGCAGAGCAGCAGAATCGGCTACTAGATGGCTATTTTTATGGTTGTTTATTATACGCTAAACAAGGGGTGGATTATTCATGAGCTTTCTGGGAAAGGGGTGGCCAATTCCCAGAACTGAGAGTTCCTCCCCATTTTAGACCATATAGGGTAACTTCCTGACATTGCCATGGCATTTTGTAAACTGTCATGGCCCTGGTGGGAGTGTCTTTTAGTATGCTAATGCATTATAATTAGTGTATAATGAGCAGTGAAGACGACAAGAGGCTACTTGCATCACCATCTTGGTTTTGGTGGGATTTCACTGGCATCTTTACCACAGTCTGTTCTATCAGCAAGGTCTTTGTGACCTGAACCTCATGCCAACCCCATCTCATCCTGTGACTAAGAATGCCTAACCACACAGAATGCAGCCCAGTAGGTCTTTTACTCACTCAGGCCCTATTCAAGATGGAGTCACTGTGGTTCAGCCGCCTCTGACATCATCACTCTTCAAAAATATTTTGTAAATCAAGATTAACAGATTAATCAACTTATTATTATCTGACTTACTGAACCTTGCATTCCAGATGGTACAGAATTAAATAATTGTGCACTTTTCCTGTATTTGTCTAATGTTAAGTCAATTAACTCCAGAGTTGAGGTTTCAATATCAACACAGGTGACAGTTCCCTTGCTGGTTGTCCAATACATCTATTCTCTTACGCACCCATCATAATAGAATTTTTCAGCTCAGCTCAGAAGGTGCCAAAGTAAAGGCTTCAACCCCCTTCAAAACAATGGGATGGTAATGGTATCCAAGTTCTGGCCAATGGTATATAAATAAGTTTGCGTGGAAACTTCCTTAGGAAAAGCAGGCTTGCTCTTTGTCTACCTGGATCATGAAAATGAGCATCTCACTCTAAGAATGAGAGCATCTCAGGCTGAGACTGTGGAGCAGAGCCAGCAACCAGCCTTCAACTGATCTCAAGTCTTTGTGTGAGAGAAAAAAATAAATTATCTCACTCAAGCACTGTGATCTGGGGATCCTATCAGTGGAGCCAAAATGAACGCTAACATACCAGCTCTGTCACTTGGGTATCTGAAAAATAGACGCATGTTTTTAAATTTCTGCCTATTCTTCGAAATTCATAGGATTTCATGTTATTAAAGAAGATGGTCAGCTGGGCACAGTGGCTCATGCCTGTAGTCCTAGCACTTTAGGAGACTGAGGTGCGCAGATCAAGGTCAGGACTTTGAGACCAGCCTGGTCAACATGGTGAAACCCCATTTCTACTAAAAATATAAAAAATTAGCTGGGCATGGTGGTAGACACCTGTAATCCCAGCTATTCTGGAGGCTAAGGCAGGAGAATCACTTGAACCTGGGAGGTTGCAGTGAGCTGAGATCACACCATTGCACTCCAGCCTGGGCAACAAGAAAAAAACTCCATGTCAAAAAAAAAAAAAAGAAAAAAGAAAAAAAGAAGATGGTCCTAGTCATAATTCTTTATAAGTCGTAGGTTCTAAGGAATCGCTTAATAACAAGTCAATTACATAACTTTTATCCTGGATAAAAGTTAAAAGATACTCTGGGGACATAAATTATTTTATAAATTGAAACTCAGAACAAAACATATGAGATCAATAAGCAAACAAAAGGAATATTGCATTTTTGAATTTTTCAAATTTTTTAATTTTTAAGAAAATAACCAGCCAGGAATCATTTCATTTCTACTGTGGAAGAATTATAAATTATTAAAGATCAATCTTTAATTGTTCAATGTAAATTAAGGTTTCACATGATTTGGATATAAAGTTTCTTTGAGAAGCTAAATAATCATACTAACTGCTTGCCTAAACCTGGGACACAGAGGTTGCAGTGAGCCGAGATCACACCACTGGACTCCAGCCTGGGCGACAGAGGGAGACTACCTCAAAAAAACATCTTACTAACTGCTGAATCTTTTACATTAACTAAGTTTAATTCTCACATTGCCAATTGTTTTTATTGCTCATACAATATTCAAACCGTTTTTTCAAAATCATTTGTAATGACTGAAAGATGAAGGTCTCCAATGTCAGATAAGTAAAATTATATCAATTTAAACTAGAACACTTACCTTCTTCAAAAAAATACGTTAATGGCTTAATCATCATTGTCCACTTTGACCATAGAATTGAGGAAATAAATTCACTTGCAATTTTTGTTTCTCTCACCTTCCATGTTGCTAGCAAATCTACCTAGCAGCTACTCATCAGCCTTACACCTTAAGCATACATCCTGATCTCACCATCTTGACATTGGGTAGCAGCGCTTCCCTGAGGCCACAGGTTAAGCGGAGTCACCAACTCACTCCCTCCCCTCTCATCTTGGCAGAGCAGGCCTACAGGTCATTCCCATTCCACTTGCATATTCATTCTGATCTTCAACAGTAACAAGGCCTGGATTGAAAAAACAAACAAGAAATATTCCAAAACAGTTGTCCTTGACCTTCCATAGACTATCAGAGAGTTTGTGTCTCTGAGACAGAACCCACACAGACTCAGTTTCTCCATGCAGTCCTTGTTTCCTGCTGTTTTAATTTTAGATGAAAATGAGAGAGACGAGTACACAGAAAAGTAACATCATCATCTGGAAAGTTATTCATAAGGAAAATGCAATGACGAATACACATTTTTTGGTCCCTATTCCAGTCCTCTTTAACAACTTTGCTTTCTTGGATGGGGATTCATGAGCTATAATACTTAAGGAGATTTTCATCTACAGGTTTTAGGATTTTCTTATCGGCCATATTCACCACCCATCCTGGAGCAAGACCAAAGAAAATCTGCCTTGGATCCTTCCTAGTACAGAGCATTTTGAAGAGTTCATCTTTAGTGATATCGGGTAAGATGTAACCGTACTTCCTGGCAAGTTCAAGTCGCGCTTCAGGAACTTTGGCAGGATCTGCCAGGTATCCACGATTCTTTGCATCGGTGTAATATGGTACCAGTTCTTCTGGTGGAAGCATTCTTTTTGGAATGGGTTGTCCACGAAGAAAGAATGGAACTGGTTTGCATACAATATCTAAAAGAAAATTTAAATTTAAAAAGTGAGATGCAAATATTAGCTCTGTAGGCATACATAGAGATGCAACTCTGTAAACACAGAGATGTTACAGTTTCTTTCTCTTGATTCTTAAGTTTTATTTTTTTGAGACAAGTTTTGCTCTCCTTTTCCAGGCTGGAGTGTAATGGCACAACCAGTCTCATAGGAGCAGCATGGACACCAGGGGAGGTTTTGTGCAGAGTGATAGTACATGCTTTAAAAGGAACTTCATGCCATGTCACTCCACTGCAGATGGAAGCAACAACAGAGAGGCCACCTGAAGGCCCACAGTCATCCAGGCAAGAGGACAGTGGCTAGGACAGATTGGCAGTAGCTGGAGAAGTGGTCAAATGTGGACATGGTTTAAAGAAACAGTTCACAAGATTTATTAGGGCATAAAAGAAAAAGTTCAGAACTCCAAATTTTGGATGGACTTGTTTACTCACATAGGGAAGACTGCAAGAGAAGCCAGGCTAAGATAAAAAAAGATGGGCTTGTCGTGATGGCTCATGCCTGTAATTCCCACACTTTGGGAGGCCAAGAAGGGACCACTCGAGGTCAGGAGTTCGAGGCCAGCCTGGACAACATGGTGAAACCTGTCTCTATCCAAAATTAGCCAGGTATAGTGGCAGGCGCCTGTAATCCCAGCTACTTGGGAGGCTGAGACAGGAGAATCCCTTGAACCTGGGGGGCGGAGGTTGCAGTGAGCCAAAATCATGCCACTGCACTCCAGCCTAGGCGACAGAGCAAGACTCTGTCTCAAAAAAAAAAAAAAAAAAGAGAGAGAGAGAAAAGAGACATTTCAGACATGCTACATTTGAGGTCCCTGCTAGACACTCAAGATCATTTTCCAGGCAGGCAGATGCAGGTCTACAGTTCAGGGGAAGGGCAGAGAGTCTTCTTTGCCCTTGGTATATCTGTCTGCGACATGCTGTATTCTTTAAATCATAATAATCCATGTGATAGATGTAGATCTAACAGTATATCCAAACTACTACCAACATTTGCCATTCTCTAAGTAATTAAAAAGTAGCCAACTTGAGACAGAGAGAAAGAAGATGACGGAACAAGCTTACCCAGACTTCTTGGATCATAGAAGGCTGTAGTAACGACACCACCATTTTTTTCAATTGCAGCAATAGCTAGTTCTGAAGCCAACTGTACTTCAATATTAACTTTCGCTGTAAAGGTGTCTGCACCCTGAAATATGTCAAAACAGTCTGTTGGTAAACAGCTTGGCTAAAAGTAAATTAATTATGTCAAGTTTCCTTTTTAAACAGTGTTTTTCCCTCCAAAGTGCCTGTAATCTAACAGTAGAGTCAGTCATCCATATCTGTGGATTCCACATCTGTGAGTCAACCAACCTGGATGGAAAATTTTCAGAAAAAAAGTAATAATAAAAAATAAGACCAGGTGTGGTGGCTCATGCCTGTAATCCTGGCACTTTGGGAGACCAAGGCAGGGAAATCACTGGAGGTCGAGTTCGAGACAAGCCTGGTCAACATGGTGAAACCCCGTCTCTACTAAAAATACAAAAATTAACTGGGCGTGATGGCAGGCACCAGTAATACCAGCTACTTCGAGGCTGAGGCAGGAAAATCGCTTGAACCTGGGAGGCAGAGGTTGCAGTGAGCTGAGATCACACCACTGCCAGTCTGGACAGCAGGGCAAGACTGCATCTCAACAACAACAACAACAACAACAACATAATAATAATAATCCAACAATAAGAAAACAATTTTTTAAAATACAGTATAACAACTATGTATGTAGTATTTACATTACTTTCAACAGCAAAAGCCACAATTATTTGTGCAACAACCTATTATTAGGTATTGTAAGTAAGCTAGAGATGATTTAAAATATATGTGAAAATGTGGCAGGTTATATGCAAATACTAGGTCATATTAGATAGACAGAGACTTGATCATCTGGATTTTGGTGAGAGGAGGTGGTCCTGGAACTAATCCTAAAGGATGACTATAATTCCTTTTTTAAATATCTCTGCTTTGAGGTCCTATCACTTTTTTTTATAACATTTTTATTTAGGCTACCTTGTTTTACCAATTTTCAATCAGTGTAAGACTGACTATATTTCTATTTTATGTGTACCTACTAAGCACTCATTCCTGATACTTCATTAATAGTAGACTGTTTAATCCTCATTAACAACCTGATGATAGGATTCCTGCTATACTGACTCCACAGATGGAAATACTGGGACACAGAGAAGTCATACGCCCAAGATCACAAAGCAATGACCGTAATCCAGGGCGTCTAGTCACAGCATCTGTGTTCTTAACCACAACATTATGCTGTCAGACATAAATAAAAACTTATCTTCCTTAGCCTTAAGTAGCAGGCCCCCAGAAGGTTAAACAAGGGGATATGCAGGCTGGAGCAGGTGGAAAAATAGAGTATCTGACAAAATCTGAGCTTTGGAAAAGTTGGCCTCACTAGAGAAAAAGAAAGAAGACAACAGAAATTCACTTTGCATTCACTATTGACTTTATTATAGCCTTTAAGCTGAAAAAAAAAAAAAAAAACCAAAAAAGAAACCTCCACTGTTTCCTAGAAAATGTAGTGCTAGGCCAGGCATGGTGGCTCATGCCTATAATCCCAGCACTTTGGGAGGCCGAGGCGGGTGGATCACGAGGTCAAGAGATCGAGATCATTCCGGTCAACATGGTGAAACCCCGTCTCTACTAAAAATACAAAAAAAGTAGCTGGGCATGGTGGCATGTGCCTGTAATCCCGGCTACTCGGGAGGCTGAGGCAGGAGAATTGCCTGAACCCAGGAGGCGGAGGTTGCGGTGAGCCGAGATCGTGCCATTGCACTCCAGCCTGGGTAACAAGAGCGAAACTCTGTCTCAAAAAAATACAAAAAGTACCCAGGCATGGTGGCGCATGCCTGTTATCCCAGCAAAAAAATTAGCTGGGCATGGTGGCGTGTGCCTGCAATCCCGGCTACTCGGGAGGCTGAGGCAGGAGAATCGCTTGAACCTAGGAGGTAGAGGTTGCAATGAGCCAAGATCCCACCACAGCACTCCAGTCTGGGCACAGAGCGAGACTCCATCTCAAAAAAAAAAAGAAAAGAAAAAAGAAAACTGTAGTTCTGAACTCTTAAAAGTTAAATTTTGGGTCACAGGATTGCTATATTTTTCTCTAATTTCAAAGCAGATTCTGATAAAAAGATGGCAGCATTAGCACTCTATGGCAATCGAAAGGTTTTATGTAGCTGAAACCGGCTTCCAGCTTAGCTCCTTCTATTAATTATGAACTTTCATGTATTTCAGAAATATTCCATCAATTCTACAATGCATTTTCACACTTTTTTTATATCTAATACTGATGTGTATTTGTAATCAACAAATCAACCTTTGATTCAATAAAACTGGGTCTTGCTGCATCATTTGTGACTTTTAAGCAATCCATAGCTTGCTTAACCGTCTCCCTATTTTTGGGCATTGGCATCAGTTCCAGTATCTTCAGTAGTATAAACAGCATTGTTAGGAATGTCTTTATAACAGGTTTCTTTCATTTTGCTTTTTCCTTGAGAACATATATTTCCAAATTGATAGTTTTGTGCTAAGGGATCAAAACTGTCTTATTATGCACTATTTCCTGCAAATCTGAAATTGTAGAAGTAAATCAGTTAAGAGAGATATAAATGATGTGTAATTGTACTTACTAACCAGTGCCCTGCGGTACAGTTTTCGGGGTTACTTTTGCTAATTTAATAGACCACACCTAAGGATGTTGGCATGTGCAGTTTAAGGGCTGATGAGTTCACGGATTTCCATAATGTTAAAAGTTACATGTGTATTTCCTTATACACCCAGGGTAGAATACTGAGGCTTAATCTTGTATTTGGTATTCTCTTTTCAAATTACTTTATTTGGAAAGCTTTTATCCATACAGTTCACTTTTTCAAAGGAATCTGAAAGGTTTTTTCATAAACATATGCTTCCCCCTAGTGGACACTAACTTACCTATACAACCGTATTACTGATAAACAGAAATTGATTGACAATGTACAAAAAATTTGGCCCACGTGGTAGCTCAAGCCTGTAATCCCAACACTTTGGGAGGCTGAGGTAGGCAGATCAACTGAGGTCAGGAGTTTGAGAACAGCTTGGCCAACATGGCTAACCCCATCTTTACTAAAAATAAAAAAAATTAGCCAGATGTGGTGGCACATGCCTTTAGTCCCAGCTACTTGGGAGTCTGAGGTATGAGAATCACTTGAACCTGGAGGGCAGAGGTTGGCAGTGAGCAGAGATTGTGCCATTGCACTCCAGCCTAGGTGACAGAGCAAGACTCCGTCTCTATTTAAACAAACAAACAAAACAAAACAAAAAACCAAATGGGCAACGTTGCTCATGCCTGTAATCCCAGCACTTTGGGAGGCCAAGGCAGGCATATCATGAGATCAGATCAAGACCACAATGGCCAACATGGTGAAACCCCATCTCTACTCGAAATACAAAAATTAACCGAGCGTGGTGACGTGTGCCTGTAATCCTAGCTACTCAGGAGGCTGAGGCAGGAGAATCACTTGACCCCGGAAGTAAGAGGTTGCAGTGAGCCAAGATCACACCATTGTACTTCAGCCTGGAGATAGAGGAAGACTCCGTCTTGGTGCCAGGGAGAATCCTTCTACATAACACCAAAAGATCTAATCCAGACTTACCTCCTCGACCAGCTGGACACCATAATCTCTTTTAAGTGGCTGGATGGTCACACCTCTCCCATTGACAAGCTGGGTTAAGTCAATAGGTTGAGTAGGATCAACACGACCCAAATCAATAAGATACTGCAGTCTATTGAGACTCAAAGGCTTATACTGGCGTCTGAAGCTGTAAAACAAGAATGTAAGAGCTAGAAAACTCTTATCTTCCTGTAACTTCTCCAAATCAACTCAAAGCTTTGTCCTGTGTTTTCCTCCACCAATTTTAATTATTTAACTAAATAAAACCCTCTTGAGTGTAACACAAACATGTAATATTGCTTGGTTTTGGTTAATGAAATGATAGCTGTACCACCTTTGTTCCACTAAAAAGTATTTCCCTCTATAAGCATTTACTTCATTTATATACACAAATAAATCTGTGGAAAATTTAACTTACTAGGAAACGCAAAGTAATAATGGTAGTTACCATTTATTAGGTGACTACAGTGGGCCAGATTTTTATATATACCGTATATTATTGCTAATTCTCTTAACGACTATGAAGGCAGGCATTAGAATCTCCATTTTGTAGGTCTGAGTGCAATGTCTGGGCTTTTTTTCCTTTTAATAATTTAGGCAAGGCCGGGTGTGGTGGCTCAAGCCTGTAATCCCAGCACTTTGGGAGGCCAAGAGGGGTGGATCACGAGGTCGAGAGATCGAGATCATCCTGGTCAATATAATGAAACCCCGTGTCTACTAAAAATACAAAAAATTAGCTGGGCATGGTGGCGCATGCCTGCAATTCCAGCTACTTGGGAGGCTGAGGCAGGAGAATTGCCTGAACCCAGGAGGCGGAGGTTGCGGTGAGCCGAGATGGCGCCATTGCACTCCAGCCTGGGTAACAAGAGCGAAACTCCATCTCAAAAAAAAATAAATAAATAATTATTTAGGCAAATTTTCATGACCAAAAAATGGTTCAGAGGAATAGTAGCAGAAGTTTGCTTCAAAGTGAATTTAAAATTTCTACCAAACTATTTTTTAGGTGCTTCTCAATGGAAATTGGGAGCCTGTACTTTAAAAAGCAAAGCAACCTTACCTATGTCCTTCGTTAAACCCGTATTTTGGGATTCGGATGTAAAATGGAGTCTGGCCTCCTTCAAAGCCCAGACGAGGCCGGGTTCCTCTTTGCCTTTCTCCTTTGTGGCCTCTGCCACATTTTCTACCTCTTCTCCGACCTCTTGGTCGCCTCTCCTACAAGGAAAGAAGAGAATTTTGTGAATTTCAGATGCATTTCTAAAAACCCATTTCGTCCCTTCACCGTTTATCTTTTTGTTATGCTGTTCATTCATCCAACCAACCACTATTTTGTGACAGGCATGTCCTAGTTGCTCAAACGTCCACACGCTCTGTTAGCATCTTTGCCTCTAAAGACATAGCTAATTCTTATAACCAACGTCCAAGCTGTGCATCAAAACGAAAAAGTCAAGTATGGGATGGGGATAAGGCTTTTATTATAGGCTAAAACTGAAAAAAATCCTAGAATTAAATATACACAACATTTTAAATGATAGAAATTTATTATTTTGAAATCAGTTGTAAATATGCAAATATCATTCATAACCCTGTAATTTTATTTGAAACTACATTGTTGAAGAAAATCTTCCTTAATTTACTTCCCATCATTTCACCAAAGCAACGAATTGACTGCTGAAATGACAGTACGCTGTCAACAGCTTTTCTAGCTGTATTTACTGAACTGCAGAAGAGCCAGCTGCAATTCAGATCTTTCCAATGAACATAAAAATACAAAGGGAAAGCACTTCATTTTAAATCCAATTTTGCAGGACACAATGACTTTGTAGTTTCAGCGAGTCGGCTTCTCTGCCTAATATCTTTACGTTTTTAAAAATAAACACTGGCCAGGGGCAGTGGCTCACGCCTGTAATCCCAGCACTTTGGAAGGGCGAGGCGGGCATATCACGAGGTCAGGAGTTCGAGACCAGCCTGACGAACACGGTCAAGCCCCTTCTCTACTAAAAATTACAAAAATTAACTGTGCGTGGTGGCGTGCGCCTGTAATCCCAGCTATTCAGGAGGCTGAGGCAGGAGAAACACTTGAACCCAGGAGGCGGAGGTTGCAGTGCGCCGAGATGACGCCACTGCACTGCAGCCTTGCACTGCAGCCTGGGCGACAGAAAGGGACTCCGTCTCAAAACTAAATAAATAAAACAAATTTTATTAAGAACTGGGTGCGCGTGGAACGATCGCCCTCTAGGCAGCAAAGGACAACAGGCACGAGGCAACCTTATATTCATCCCTACACCCTCCCAGAAAGGCAGTTTTCCTAATGACAGAGAGAGAAGGGCTGCTTCCATTGCCCCGGTCCCCAGCGTTTCCCCCGCAACGCCACCAGCCATTTACCGGTTTCCTGGAGCCGGGATTCGGCTTTAAGTTGGCCAGGCTCACACGCGGCAGGTCCCGGAGTAGGTCTAGGGCCCGGGACCTACCGCCCTGCAAAGGACCTGCCATAGCTCCCAGATCCAAGAACTTTCAAGGGCGCCCTGAGCCGCTGGGAGGCCACGTGGTCTCGCGGGCTGCTTTACGGTTGTGGCCCCGCCCCTGTCGCGCTGCAGCCGCGCGCGCAATCCCGGGACTCGGGCAAAGGCGTGTGTCTGCAAGCTTGTGTCTGGTGACCTATTCGTTTAGTTCTTGAGGGATGTGATCTTATTTTCTGATATCTTGCTTTGTCCTCGGGGTCCCTTTTAATATTCTGAATGTAAAACCTTCTCATTCGCCAAACAGGAGTACGCACTAAAAACACTGCGTTAAATAAAGTTTCGTTTTTGAGTCAGTGTTTGGCCTTGCCTATTTCCAGGCAGTGCATTCTCTGAAGTCAACGCAGAACCCAGAGTAAAGCATTGTGAGCTGTCAATTATCAGCTTTTGAACTTGTGTAATTATACGCCGTGCGTCCTAAAATAATACTCATAGTGCACCTATCAAAAAGCCTGGCTAATAGCAATCTTTGAATAAGACTCAAAGTATGAACTCACATCCGTGTGCATCTGTATTGTTTTGAGTGAATCACAGCTGACCACTTAGACTGGCACGGTACTGATTGCCTGGTGGCCAGACCCTGTATTAAATTAGCCTGACTCGAGTTACAGCCATTCTAGAGGTAGACGATATTACAATTTGCAGTTACAGCGAGGTAGGGCTTAGCAAGCTCCGGTAGCTTAACCAACTTCTTGCAGCAATCGACAGAGCCGGAATTCAAACTTATACTGCTTCCTACTATAAAAATAGTATTTTTAGAATGTAAAATTATCTCCATCACAAAATACAAACATTATTCGAAAAATAACAGCTCTTCTATTTTTCTCTTAAGTTAGTTAAATATAGAAAAGACTGTTCCTTTTTCTTTCTTTTAGTAATGGTGTGATATTTCACTGTCTTCCTGGAGAGTTTTTTTTCTGCTAGGTCTTACTAGTAATCACAAATAATGAAGGTGAGAATTTTTGGAAAGCAGCTGTCTTGGGTTTAACTACATCTTTTTTAAGTTCCTTTAATCAAGTGTAAAATAACTACATAAAGAAAAAGTTGTATTCATTCCTTCAAGTACTATTTATAAGTAAGACGCTGAACTTGTTAGAAATACATATGGAGGCTGGGCATGGTGGTTCACGCCTGTAATCCCAGCATTTTGGGAGGCTGAGGTGGGTGGATTACCTGAGGTCAGGAGTTCGAGACCAGCCTGGCCAACATGGTGAAACCCCATCTCTACTAAAAATACAAAAATTAGCCAGGCATGGTGGTGGGCACCTGTAATCCCAGCTACTAGGGAGGCTGAGGCAGGAGAATCCCTTGAACCCAGGAGGTGGAGGTTGTAGTGAGCCAAGACGGCACCATTGCACTTCAGCCTGGGCAAAATGGGCAATAAGAACGAAACTCCGTCTGCAAAAAAGAAAGAAAGAAATACGTATGGATGAACTCAAACAGTATTTCATTCCCAGGTTGTTTGAAATCTGTAGGGAAGAGTTTCCAAAAGTGATTTTTTTTTTTTTTTTTTAAGTTAAAGATAGCCGGGCTCAGTGGTTCAACCTTTGTAATCCCGACACTTTGGGAGGCTGAGGTGGGCGGATCACGAAGTCAATAGATCGAGACCATCCTGGCCAACATAGTGAAACCCCGTCTCTGCTAAAACTACAACAACAAAAAATTAGCTGTGTGTGATGACACGCGCCAGTGGTCCCAGCTACTTGGGAGGCTGAGGCAGGAGAATCGCTTGAACCCGGGAGGCGAAAGTTGCAGTCAGCCAAGATTGCGCCACTGCACTCCAGCCTGGGGACAGAGGGAGACTCCGTCTCAAAAAAGAAAAAAAGACCCCTCTATATCCAAAAGACTGACATTAGGCAGGCATCATCCTGGGACAAAGAGAGCAGAAAAAAAAAAAAAGAAAAGAAAAGAAAAGAAAAAAAGATAAAGTAGGCCTCTTGTAGATGAATTAGCAAAAACAAGAAAATATATGAGTTCAATAAAGTGATATGAAGGTAAAGTCCAGACTCTATTTAGAAATACGAAAGAAATAGAATAGAGGGGGAAAAATAGAACCTATTTTCTGCCTTTAGTGATTTGTTTGTTTATTTGTTTGTTTGTTTGTGGTGGGCTCTCACTCTGTCACCAGGCTGGAGTGCAGTGGCGCTGTCTCCTCTGCTCACTGCAATCTCCGCCTCCCAGGTTCAAGCAATTCTCTGCTTCATCGTCCCATTTTTTTTTTTTTTTTTTTTTTTTTTTTGTAGAGACAGGGTTTCAGCATGTTGGCCAGTCTGGACTCGAACTCCTGACCTCAAATGATCTGCCCACCTCAGCCTCCCAAAGTGCTGGGATTACAGGTGTGAGCCACCAAGCCCAGCCTGCCTTTACTGATTTTTAATTCAGTAGTTTTCGTTATCTTTTTATTAGAACTTTCCTACCTTTGGGAAGAACATTGCAAAATATTATTGCAAACTGTACCCTCATCTACAGAAAAATGCATAATTATTTTCAAAAAATAATATTCCCCTAAAAAATCATTGTTTGCATTAAGTAATGAACTTCTGATTGTTAATGCCAGTAATTTTTTTTATTTTTAATTTCCACCCCACACTGCCCGCCAGTAATGTTTTTTATCATGGGAAAATGTTTTAATGAATAAGAAAAATATGAGAAATATGCTGCGCTTTTTGGAAGGAGAAGTTGTATAGGTTATGTAATGTTATTGGCTGACATCAATTAATAATAATGGGAATAACAATTGTTTACAGTTAATTGTAGGCTATGTGTTTGTTTCCCATATCCAACACATTGATTAAGTATATAAAACTGTCAAAATAATTTGATGAGTTTCATTTGTGTTGTAAGAATGTAAATTAAAGGTGTGTGGTCGATAAGACAACAATCTTTACCTTAAATCTATAGTAGTTTGATGTCATTCTCATAATTGCACAATTTATATTTATTACTCACTTACATGCTTGGGATGTACTAAATCCTATTTAAATCAAGTTAATAAGAACTTGTAATAAAAAGTTTTTATTAATATCTCAACAACTATTTAAGGTCCATCCTGATTCCAACCCCAGTTAATAACTGCTGAATCATTACATAATAAGAATGAAATGAACCCTGTAAAGATGATACAATTTGAAGTGCTTTGGAAGGCTTCACCCACTGCCCGAAATCTTCCCCCATCTATACATATCAGCACCTGATAGTCTGTTAACATAGATTAATTCCTCCGAGTTCACTATTTTTCAAAAAAAAAAAAATTTCAGGGTGAGCAGAAAATGGGACTGGGAAATGAAAATAAAAGGGAATAGGCTGGGCGAGGTGGCTCATGCCTATAATCTCAGCACTTTGGGAGGCCGAGGTGGGTGGATCACCTGAGGTCAGGAGTTAGAAACCAGCCTGGCCAACATGGTGAAACCCTGCCTCTCCTAAAAATACAAAAAACTTAGCTGGATGCTTTGTTGCATGCCTGTAATCCCAGCTACTTGGGAGGCTGAGGCAGGAGAATTGCCTGAACCCAGGAGTTGGAGGTGCAGTGAGCTGAGACTGTGCCGTTGCACTTTAGCCTGGACAACAAGAGCAAAACTCCATCTCAAAAAAAAAAAGAAAGAAAGAAAAGAAGACCAGAAGCAGTGGCTCATGCCTGTAATCCCAACACTTTGGGAGGTCGAGTCAGGTGTGTCACGACGTCAGGAGATCGACCTCTTGGTGAAACCCAACTCTTGCCAACTTGGTGAAACCCCCATCTCTACTAAAAATCATAATAATAATAATAAAATTAGCTGGAAGTGGTGGCAAGCACCTGTAATCCCAGTTACTCAGGAGGCTGAGGCAGGGAAATCACTTGCCGGCGGCAGAGGTTACAGTGAGCTGAGATCGGGCCACGGCACTCCAGCTTTGCAGCAGAGCAAGACTCCGTCTCCAAAACAAAAAAGAAAAGAAAAGGGAATAAATTCATCGGAATCAGATAAGGTGTTTTGCATTAACCACAGTAATAATACACTACAAAGTAAAAAGTCTGGGCACCTTAATCTTCTGTTTTTGAGATTGAAAAACAATAAGCTCTTGTGCAGTGGCTCACGCCTGTAATCCCAGCACTTTGGAAGGCCGAGGGGGACGGATCACCTGAGGTTGAGAGTTCGAGACCAGCCTGACCAACATGGAGAAACCCCGTCTTTAGCAAAAATACAACATATTAGCTGGACATGGTGGCGGGCGCCTCCAGCCACTCAGGAGGCTGAGGCAGGAGAATTGCTTGAACCTGGAGGTGGAGGTTGCAGTGAGCCAAGACTGCACCACTGCACTCCAGTCTGGGTGACAGCGCAAGACTCCTTTCAAAAAAAAAAAAAAGTTGAGCAGAAAACAGCTGGAAAAGCGATATTCCTAAGTGAAGGTGGGAGACAGCCAGAGGCAGGAGAGGAATGAATCCCTTTAATATTGGGAGAAAACTAATATTGAAGCTGGGGGTGGTGGCTTACGCTTGTAATCCCAGCACTTTGGGAGGCTGAGATGGGTAGATCATCTGAGGTCAGGAGTTTGAGAACAGCCCGGCCAACGTGGTGAAACCCCGTCTCTACCAAAAATACAAAAATTAGCTGGGCGTGGTGGTGCCTGCCTGCAATCCCAGCTACCATGAAGGGTGAAGCAGGAGTATGGCTTGAATCCAGGAGGCGGAGATTGCAGTCAACCGTGATCGCACCACTGCACTCCTAGCCTGGGCAACAGAACAAGACTCTGTCACACACACACACACACCCACACACACACACACCCACACACACACACACCTAATATTGAGAGAAGGCTATGAAGAGGGCATGGAAAAAGGCTGCAAATAAATGGCCCCTTGATAAAATGTAACTAATTCGGCCTTGATAAAGCTTGATCCCAACCTAAAGTTCTCATTCACACCTAAATAGGTTTTAATTTTATTAAAGTATTGTAATGCCTACGTATTTTGAAAAAAAAACAGTACAGAAGGGCTTATAATGAAAAGCAGCTATTTTCTATTCCATTTCTAGTTTCACTCCCACAAGCAATCACTTTTAATGTTGCTTTTGTTTCTTCTTC